CCCCAAAACCCCAAAACCCCAAAACCCCAAAGCGCATGTGACAAATTGATGTTTTAAAATTAGTGATTCATGAAGATAACAAGCAAAATGATAAGTATATAAAGAGGATTAATTTATCACAAATAAAAATATGAATCGAAGAGATAACGCTCATCATTCATCTCAATTATCCAGAGATAGGAATTTAGACATTGGGATGAAGATATCGTGGAGAAACCTCCACTACACTGTCAAAGCCAAGTACAGCAAAGCCCAGATCAAAGACCTCAACACCAACGATAAATACTACGATAAAGAAATCTTGAAGCCCCAGAGCGGCTACATTAAGTCAGGTGAAACCTGTTTCATCATGGGTTCTTCCGGAGCCGGCAAGACCACTCTGCTCAATGCGCTCTGCGACCGAATCACCCAAAACGCCAAGTGCAAGCTGGAAGGAGACATCTTGCTGAACGACTCGTACCCGGTGAAGCAGAAGGACTTCGGAAAGTATGGAGCCTACGTGATGCAGGACGATGTGTTATTCCCAACACTTACTTGAGAAGAAGTCATTACATTCTCAGCAAGGCTCAAGCTTAATATCTCAGGTAATGATCTGAAAAGCAGAGTTGATAAGATCATTGACAGCCTCGGGCTTATCAAATGTAAGGATACTAAAATTGGAAGCCAAGAACTGAAAGGTCTTAGTGGTGGTGAAAGAAAGAGAACTGCTATTGGAGTTGAAATGATCACTGATCCTCAAGTTCTTTTCCTTGATGAACCAACTTCTGGATTAGATAGCTTCACAGCCAATAAAATTGTCAGACTCCTGGTTGATCAGTCTCGTCAAGGCAGAACTGTCATTGCAACCATACATCAGCCAAGCTCCAGCACTTTTGCTCTGTTCGATAGACTCATTCTGCTGATGGATGGCCACTTGATCTACCAAGGCAAAGCTGATCAGGCAGCCAGCTATTTCCAAGGACTGGGCTTCAAGATTCCGACGTATGCAAACCCATCAGATTTCTTCTTGAAGGAGTTCTACGTGCCATTCAGGAAGACAGCAAAGGACTCAGAAAAGTTGGACAGATTGGTCCAAGGATACGAAATTAACATGAAGAAAGCTGTGGAAGTTGAGAACAAAGAGACTAATAACTACGAAGAGATAACTTCCGAGAAACTTAAAGACGACAATCATCATGCTAATTTCTTTATCGAGTTTAAAGAACTCCTCAAAAGAACTATCAAGAATATAGTAAGAAATCCCTTGATGATAAAGATCAGGATGATGCAGACCCTGGTCACTGCTATTCTATGCTGCCTCATCTTCTGGGATTTGGAGGAAGACCGACAAGGAGTGTATGGAAAAGCAGGTCTTGCCTTCTTTGTAAGCATCAACCAAACCATGACTGGAATGATGGGAGTGCTATTAGTGTTTATACTCGAAAGACCAGTGTTCCTAAGAGAGCATGCTAATAAGACATACGGGCTAACTTCTTATTTCATTACAAAGTCCTTGGTGGAAGCTCCATTTCAGTTGTTGTTTCCAATTATAACTTCACTGATTGTATATTTCCCGGTTGGAATGACAGCAGATTTTGATAAATTCTTGATATTTACACTTGTGCTAGTAGTTCTCGTGTTCAGTGCAACCTCGGTGGGTTTCTTCCTTGGATGCCTGTTCGACAACTCTTCAGTGGCCACGCCTGCCTCCATGATGGTCCTGCTTCCTTATATTATTTTTGGAGGATATTTTGTCAATTTGAAGGATGTCTATGTATGGCTGAGCTGGCTACAGTACATTTCACCATTGAGATACTCGACAGAAGCGTTGTTGAGGAACGAGTTTGAGGATAACTCAGATTATTCAGAGGATTTTCAGAGGATTTATGAGGGATTTGATTATAATATAGGGCTATGGACGTGCATTGGTATTCTCACAATTTTGTCTTTTGTTTTCAGAGCAGGTGCTTACGTTGCACTCAGATTAACCGTTTCCAAAGTTCAATAAGCTATTTACAGTGAAGGTTCACTTAATTGATCTAAATCTTGATACAAATAACTCCTCTAAACTCTTAACATTCTCCTTTTTGCCTCATATTAATCCTTTTCCATCTTTGAAGCTTCTTAACACGATTTCTTCATCAAATTTCCATTTTGCTAAATAATATCTAATTTTGTCAAATTTGAAAACTGAATAAAATCACGTCATGCTTTAGGTCCAAACTGTAAACTTATTTTTCAATTTGATTCAAGCTTCCAGGGGTTTTGGGGTTTTGGGGTTTTGGGGTTTTGGGG